CTCTCTCTCTCTCTCTCTCTCTCTCTCTCCGCGCTTGACTGCAAGCCTGCTTGACTGCTTGACTGCTTGAATGAATGATTGCTTGCTTGGGCGGTGTGCAGGTAGGAATGAGTCAAGTTGGCGCACACGACGCACACTCGTGACTTTATGACTTGATTGCGCAGGCCATCGCCATCCATCGTCCATGCGCACGCCACGTGAGCGTACTGTAGACGCTGCGTCAGAATGAAAGTTTTGATTTGATTTGATTTGATTTGATTTGATTTTGATTTTGAGTTTTTGTGTCGTTGCGTTTTGAGTCCAAAGTCATAGTCACGTGAGTGGCCAACACGCGTGACTGGTGAAGATCACGTGATCGCAGCTCTGCGTGCGAGTCGTGTCTCACGTGACTATATGGCCATGCATGGCAGTCAAGAGTCCTGAGTTTGAGTGTGTGTGCGCGCCAGGCGATCGTGGATGGACGCCCGGGGCGTGCGCCTCGAGTGGCAGCAGCAGCAGCAGCAGCAGCAGCAGCAGGTAAGATGGGAACATGGACATCGCATCGCATCGACTCGACTCGCTCTTCATCTCACTCACCACCACTCATCGCTGCTCTCCACGACGACGACCCAGGCAGCACGTGGCTTATCCATAAGAGGACGCTGATTGAGCGCATACACACACGCATACACACACGCACACACACACACACACACACACACCCGCTTAAGCGCTTGCAGGGACGTCGATGTCGGGCCTGGCAGATGCAGGCACGTCGGGCTCGCTCCCTGCCCCTGCGGCTTCCAGCTCAAGCTCTGACCACAGCTCCGTCGCCTCGTCATCGTCGATGGCAGGTCAAGGAGGCACTGCCATGGCCATGCCAGTCGATGACGATGAGAATGACGATGACACCTCATCATCTCCTCCGCCAGATGCCTTGACGCTCCTGTCTCGCGCCCTCTCAGCATCCACACCTTCGGCCGAGGAGTCATCGCTGGCGCAACTCTATCAACTCTTTGTCTCCTCTCCTGGCAATCTGCAACCCTTGTTTCCCAGTCTGATCAGCTTGCTCCCCAGAGCTGGTCCCGCTCTCACGCCTTGGATCCTCAGGGTTTGCAACTTGGCCTTTTGCAGACCTGGCTTGGGGCTGGGCGCTAGATTGCAACGTGAGTCAAGCTTTGCATGCCCATGCCGCATCCGTCGCGCGCGCACCGCGCACATTGGCTCATTGCATTGCCAAGCTTGACCTCCTCCTCCTCCTCCTCCTCCCTTACGCTCACACTCACACTCACACCCTCACGCCACGTCTCCTTGCAGTTGCTGCGCTCGTGCCTCCAGCTCTGCAACACTTTCTGCCACTTCCAGGCACCTCCTCCAACAGCTGGACCTCCTCCCACAAGTCCGCCCTCCAAGTCTTCTGTTCCGTCTATCCTTTGCTCTTTCGTCTCTCGGCCGAAAATCCGCACGCGGGTCACATTGCCAAAGCTTGGAGGGAGATTTGCGAATGCAAGGCCAGGGTGATGAACGTATTGCAGAGCTCGTCTGTAGCGAATCAACAACTTCATCATCATCATCATCAACAACAACAACAACAGCAACATGCACAGCAAGGACACGCGCAGAGTGGCAATGCGCCGGATGTGGGAGTGGGAACGAGGATTGCGGCGATCAAGGCGGCGCAGAGGATCGTGCTTGTGGCCACGCGAGCCCACACGAATGTCGGAGCATCGGGCAAGGTGAGTGTCGTGCGTGGCAGCGAGCTGGAGTGGTGGATGCTAGCAGAGTGCGCGCGAGCGTCTTGCAGTGGGGGCAAGAGTCCCCTCTCCGCGTTGCTTGTCGCTCGCAATTTTTTGCTGACCTCGCGATACGTGCAGCAATACGGAAACGACGTCAATCTGAACCTCGTGCATGGCCAACATCCGCACCTGGACACGCCAGCCCTGGAAGCGGAAGCGAACAGCTACCTCACAACGCTCATCACCATCATCTTTACCTCTTCGTGAGTCTATGCGGAGTGCGCAGTGTGCAGCGCAAAGCTCAATTCCTGAAGCCCGCAACTCGTCTCTCGGCCTTTGCACCACAGATCCGAGCAGATCGTCAGCGCAGCGCTCAATACTCTGCCGCCACTAGCAAAGACCCGACCAGGCCTCTACCCGATCGTTTTGGAAGCGATCACCTCTTGGACACCTGCCGCCTTTCAGACCAGCTCTTCCCGTAGCGCACCCTCCTCGCGCACATCTCGAGCCTTTGCGGAGCTTCGCAATGTGGAGAAAACGCTGAGGTCGCTGTTTCTGCATTTCTTGCACTCTGGATCGGTACAGGATGGCCTGTCGGCGCAAGGCCGCGAACATCAATTGCAGAGCGCTCTGTCTGCGCAAAAGAGTCGGATGGAGCAAGCTACAAAGGAAGAGAATGCGAGGAGAGCGAATGCGTTGGCTTTGGAAAAAGCAGCTGCTGCAACAGCTGATGCTATGAGCGGAGCAAAGAGAAAAGGCAAAGCTGCAGAGGGCGCATACGATGGGAAAGTGGCGGTGGGAGGAAAGAGGAAAAGGGTGAGGTGGGATGATGAGCTGGATGAGGAAGAGGGTGATGGGGGTGGCGTTGCAGAGGTATCTGAAGGGGATCTCGCATCTTCTTCCCAATCCACCTCCACATCCATCTCTGCCCCTCAGGATTCGACACTGAATCACCCGGCGCAATCTGCAGCCCCGCCGCAGCTGCAGTTAAGCCAGGCGCAGGTATCAGCACTATCCACGTACGTGCCCGCTGCTCTTTTTGCTCAGGCGGCGCAGGATCCCAACGGACAGAATACGCTGGCCATGTTTGATGTGTCGACGCTGGAGCTGGAGTTGGTCAATCAGATTGTTTGCGCTACACTTGCGGGTGTGCAAGAGGAGACGCTTGTGCAAGCTGTCGATGTGAGTGGTAATGGCAGAGATTTGCTTGTTTGCGACTCTTGCCAGTCTTTCTGAGTCGCGTTGTGCGATGCTGACTGCCCGCTCGCGTCGTCACCGCACGCACTGCCAATGCTCTCGCTGCAGAGAACGCGGGCAAACTTGCTGCGCATTCTGGACCCATCTCTCGCCCCTCCTGCGTCTGCGCCCCCAGTACCAGGACCGCCGCCCTCCGCACCGCACCCTTCGGGTGTGGCTCAACCGGTTCAGTTGGCGCAAGTGGCCGCGTCGGTAGCGGCGATCCAGGCTACTTCGACGCCTCACGCCTCCAAAGACTTTGTAGCCGATGCTGCCGCGTTGGCCTCTTCCGCCGTCTCGGCGTACGCGCACGCGCGCATCGGTAGCGATGGGCAAGCAGCGGATCAAGCGGACCAGCAGTTGGACGAAAGCGTCAACCCTTTGAAGATGGATGCGGACGATGATGAGATCAAGCTGGATAGCGATGCGCTCGCCCTACCAGCAGCAGCAGAGCTTGTCCCTTCCTCCTCCTCCTCCTCCTCCCAGACTGACGCGCAACTACTGCAAGCTGACGATTCGGAGTTGGCAGCGCTGGAAACCTTTGTCCTTCCCCCGCCCAAACGCTTGCGACCTGATCAGGCAAAGACCATCGTGCTGGACGCTGTGAGGGGTATTTGCGCAGCTGGAGCAACGCAAGAGTCCTGCGCCGCCTCTTTGCCAAAGAATAGCATCGAGGAGATTGGCGCTAGCAAGGAACAGAATAGAACGTCTACAGGGAACGCGATGCACGAACAGCTCTGGGTGGCGCTCATCACCAGACTGGCGACGAGAGGCTTTGCGGATCCGGAGGCTGAGAGCCATAGCAATGGCCAACACTCGGATGATGCGCAATCGTCGCACGCGGCGTCTGGTCTCGATGTTGCGAATGGGTCATCACTTGCAGGGCATGCGGACCAGTTGCGGAGTATCATGCTGGAGTTTGTCAAGGAAGACTTTGATGGCAGGCTAGGATTCGCGGCGCAATGGATGGCGGAAGAGTGGGCGTCTGCGCACGCGGCGGCCAGGAAGAGGTTGAGCGGAAGCCTCCCGGCACGTCAAGCCGACCGTTCGACGAGTGCTAGACGGCGATCCAAAGTCAAGCTGGAGGCGAGAGACATGGCAACGTACGACCAGTGGCTTGGTGCCGTTGTGCAAGGCGTGATGCCGGCCATCGAGGCAAAGGACAAGACGCTGCATCGTTTCTTGAACGAGGTGCCTCACCTCTCGCTGTCCGTCTTGGAGCAGCTCAAAACGCTGTGCACGGACGCTGATAAGGGCAGAAGAGCCGTGGGATTTACGATTTTGAGGGATGTGGCGATGAATAGACCACCGGCGAGAGCACAAGCGGCTCAGTACCTGCTCGAACTGACGAGGGATGCAGAGGGAGGCGTCAGAGGAGCTGCAATCGTCACTGTTCGGGGATGGGTTGGCAGCAAAGGCGCACTGGAAGAGATTGCGCTGGATCATGCGAGAAGAGGTCTCGAGGCCGTGTGCGAGGTGCCTCCTGCTCCCACACTTGCCAGCAACAGCGACGAAGGCGCAGACGCAGACGCAGACGCAGACGCAGCGAGCGACGCGGAGCCTAAATGGACGGATGCGGACGTGCTGAGGCACGTCGAGCTAGCCTTTGTTCTGTGTCTCAAGGTGCCGAACCTCTTGGACGAAATCTTTGCCATCTTTCCTCGCATGTCCAGTGCAGCGCAAAAGGGTGTTCAGCTGCACATTACCAATCTCGTCAAGTCTCTAGGCAGCGGTAATGCCAAGCTGATGGATAGGATACGCAACTTTCCGCAAGGAGCGCAGGACCTCGCATTGGCTGCTATCGCTACGCTCATGGAAAAGGGCAGACCGGCGAAATTGGTTGCGCTGGTCAAGAAATTGGTAGAGGAGCGGGAAGATGTTAGTCCGAGGTTCCTCGTGCCCATCATGCCGGATCTGAGCAAGGTGAGATGATGTGCTCGCTTTCAGCAGTCTGGTTCGTCGTCTTATTACTCAAAAGGCCTACCTCTACCTCGCCTCCGTCGCTTGTTTGGTCGCAGGAGGAGATCAAAAAGTTTTTGCCGCGCGTAGTGACGCTGCTGAACACGGGCCAGGCATCGGACCGAGCGCTGCTCAAATCCGTCTTTACATCCGTCGTCGTAGCTCCAGCAGCAGGCTTTGGCAGCGTATCTTCCAATCTGCCACGCGTCAAGGCCGGCTCCCTACTGAATCCTGTAGAGTTGATGGGCCTGCTATCCAGATCGGAACAGGAGATAGGCATCAAGGCCACGGTGGAGGCTGTTGGGATATGTTTTGGCCTCACCGACATCTTTACGGCCCAGGTGATTGGCGCTGTGCTCAATCAGATTGTCGACGAAGCCAATCTGCCCATCGTATTTATGAGGATCGTGAGTGCGCGCCGCGAATTCTTCCTTCAACAGGGGTTGCACCCGCTTGCAGAGAGCTGACGGGATCGCCCCTCCCCGCTCCCGCCCTCGGACAATAGGCAATCATGGCGGTATCGACGTACAAATCGCTATCTACATACGTCTCTTCCAACCTGCTCACCCGCCTGATCACCAAGAAGATTTGGACAAACGAACGTCTTTGGGAAGGCTTTATCATTTGCGCCAGGCAGACCGCACCCGCTTCTTTTGGAGCGCTGATCCAGCTGCCCAAGGAGCAGCTGCACGATGTGCTGGATAAGCAGTCGGTGCTTAGGGATGGACTGAGAGATCACCTGGAGAAAAAGGCGGGCGGCAATAGGGCGAGGTTGAATGGCTTTTTGGAACTCATCAACGAGACTGGCGCTGGCGCTGCTGCTGCTGTCCCTACGGCTACGGCTACGGCTACGGCTCCTCGAGAAGAGGCGCGCGCGTCTGCGGGTATGCCAGTTGCGGACGTCGAGATGCATGATTGCGATACAGCTGCGAAAGCTCCGCAAGAAGGGCGGCAAGAAAGGCGAGAAGGAGTTTCAAATACACCGGAACATGTTCTCGCTGCTGCTGATGGTGATTCCTGAAACAGCTGCACTGCTAGCTGGCTCGCTAGATACGCTCCCACACTCACCCTTGTAGCTTTAGCCGCCCAAACGGAGACCGACCCATCGATGGCGAGGGGGAATCAAACACACGACAAGGCTTGCGTTTGCGCAAAATGTCTCTCAACAGATAGATGGAACTTTGTTTTGAATGGCGCGCGCGCGCGCGCAAGTGTGATTTAGGAGATGGCGTCTGGATGGGTGCGAGAAGCTACGCTTTCGCTTTCGCTGGACCTTTTTGGGAACGAGGCGGGGGGTGCTCGGACGTCGCAGAAGGGAAGACGCGGCTCGAGGAGGGATAAGGAGAGGCGTTGGATCCGATTTGGCAAAACAACAACAACGCAAATGACGGACACAATGACGAGTGACGAGTGCAAATGGTGTGTGTGTGTGTGGGGGGCATAAAACTAGTTACAAATGTGGCATCTCGCTCAGAAGCTTTTTTGCGTGGAATTGGAATTTTTTTTTTTGCTTTCTTTTTCTCTCTTTTTTGGGGGCGCCGGAGATTGATCCTGCAT